TGCTAAACATGCACACAGACCCCCGTTGTTCCCTGAGCAATACAGCACCATACAGCATTAGCGTTTTAAAGCGCTGCCATTCTAATACCAGGAACACATTTGGGATGTGCTGGCAGACAATTCTGTCATGTTAATGTCATGGTTGGTCCTTATGGAGATGGCAAGATCACTGGGTAACGTGATCTCATGTGACAACGGGCACGGGGGAGGAGGGTAGACTGATTATTACCCAGAACACTGACTCTACAGGAGGACAATGTGTGGACTGCACTCTGACACCCCGAATTTGATACAAGGGCTTGATCAGTCACAGATTTTAATACTTGTGGAGATCCTGATACTAGCCTCCCATGAGTACTCCCATGAGTGCTAAGGACAACAGTCCCTCCTAGGACTTCGGGAAGAATGGAACGAATTGATGTGTGTGAGCCAGGGACAGTACCTGTACATCACAGATGAACAATAAATGTGCTAATGAAGAAAGGACCTGGTATCCTGAAAAACAAGCTCCCTTAGCTTAGACTAGTGTGTGAGTGGTGTGAACAGTATGTCCTGGGGTCAGACGGGAGAGCATGGCAGTGCTCCCCTCTGGCCCCAGTATTCAAGCTGAAGCAGGAGGACCATGAGTTTGTCAGCCCAGGCTACATACAGACCTGGTCTCCAAAGCCTAAATAAACTCTGATTTTAAATTTCAGTTCTAGTGTTTATCAACTTGTTGAGTGAGATATGTTTATTTGTAGCTCAACCTCCCCATTTGTCAAACTAGACTTGACCCTTGTTGAGGATGAAATTATTCGAAGTTTCACCCTTCTCCTCACCCATGCTTCCTGGTGATGTCCTCTGTCAAGAGAGGGAGGCTTTTCCTCACCTTGTCATTGGGGATCTGACACACCATAGGAAGAGGCCCAATCTAACAGGAAGGATTAGCAGATGTATATAACCAGTCATCCCCACTGAGTCTGCCAAACTTCAGGCAGTCCCCAGAAGCTGGCTTGCAGATTGTCTACAAGCCAAGAGAGACTAGTCAACAGCAGAACGGCCCAGCTGAGGTCAGCCTACACTTCCATCCACAGAATTGTGAGCTGGCACTCGAGGTCTACGTGATTAAACTTCGGGCTATTGTGGTTCATAACAACGGAGAGCCAATACAGTGGAAATTATTCCGCACAGTAACCCTAGCTTAATTAAGAGAATCAATGATGATGATGACAACAACCACACTGTGTTCCTGGCTCACACCTCTGCCGCAAGTGTTTTAGAAAATTGTTTCATAAATCAGCTTATGGCCTGACAGTGAAACACAAAAAATGGTTTCCAGTGACCTTCCAACCACTTACTCATTCTTGGCCAATTACCAGCACTTCAAGCCCTGCAAAGGATTTTGATTTGGTGGCTTAAGTGAAAAGTCACTAGCAGGTTCTAAGGCTGGGAGAGGAATGAGAAGAGAGTGAGCAGGGCTGTGGGAAGGATCAGGGAAAGAGAGAGGTTGAGGGTAGACTGGTATAAGGACCCAGGGAGGCAACAATGCCATCCTCCTGCCCACTCCTCCCGTAGCTCCCATAGCCCTTAGAATGAACTCCAGATACCTGAACCGCACAGGCTTTTCACCCTGCTCCACTACACCTGCTTCTCTTGGATGCACCCAGCCTTTGCATGTACTGCACCCCCAACATCCTGCATGTGCCTTCCTTTCCCTCTGTGATATTATGTCCACCTTTTACATCTCTTCAGCCCCGATGTCACTGCATCCTTCACCTAGGTTGGGTCACCCAGATGTATCCTCTTTATACACCATGCTTTGCTTTCATGGCAAACATCATGAATCATACCATAGGCAACATGCAAAGGCTCATGGGATGAACCAACCCTGAGCTCCACCAGAGATACAGCCAGGTTTGCCTTGCTTGGAGCTGTGCTCCCAGAGCCTGGTACAATCACTAGCATGTACAGGCATGAAGGCCCTCATCTTGGATGAGTGAGTGTCCATGAACAAACCTTTGGGACAGAAAATCCACGCCTACCCAGAACCTCTCACCCTGAGAGGGCATAGAAGTGCATGCTTTCCACAGAGACAAGTCTGTCTCACCCAGGATGCTGGTACCAGGTTTATAGCCAAAGAACACATTTAATCTGGCCAATAAATAACCCAATCTCACTAGCCCCGGTGGCTGAGTGGAAAGTCCTTAAGGAGGGAATAACACTGGTGTGGAACACCGAGTCCTCAACCTCAAGAACATGGAATTCTCCTGCAGGACTTGAATGTCTATTTGAATAAGGAATGCTTTCCCAAGCCGTGTTTCATAAACAAGCCCTGATTAGAAGCAAACAAACAGCCCTCATGGACATCGGCTGTCTGGAAGACTTCATCTGGCTGCACAAGTCAGACTCTGGAGAGAGTGGAATGGAAGCCAGGAGCCTATGGGATGGTCGTAACATGGCCCCATCCACCTTGCAGAATCCCTCGCTCTATTCAAAATCCAGTCCTGTAGACAGTTAAGTATGGCGTCTGTGTCCATCTGTCCCTCGTTCCCACGGTACTGTGAGTGCCAGGAGGGCAGGAACCAGTTTTGAACACTCATTGCTCCCCGACCCAGAGCTCAGGGCTTAGCACAGAACTGTCTCCACGCAGAGAAGCCGAGCTACACGAGGATCAATGAGCTCATGTAAACAGCAAGATCAAGGCCATCAACAGTAGAAAAATGGTGTGGAGGACTCGGAGCCTCTGCATCAAGCTATTACTGAAGGCCACTGGAACTTTGTCAGTGCACTAGGGTCTTCTGGGCTGGTTAACCCAAATCCTAGTGCATACATGTTCATGGCGTGTTTGTTCACAGTAGCCTGAGTGAGAAACAACCTAAATGCCCTTTGACAGGCGAGGAAGACACCAGGCAAGCACACCCACATAACCAGCCCCTACACTGGAAAGCTGCTCACTCCGCAACAACAACCTGCTCTGGGATGAAAGTTCAAGACCCTCCTAGAAGTCGCATGTGGAAGCTCTAACCCCACTGCATTTCAGTTTGGAGATGAGGACTCTATGGAAGTAATTATGGTCGTGTGTGGTCATGATGATGGGGCATTAATCTTGATCCCCCATCCTCTGTGCACACACTGAAGAAGGGTGTGTGAAGGCATAATAAGAAGGTGGCTGTCCACAGGCCAAGAAAAGAGCCCGAACCACAAGCCCAAGTTTGCTGGAGCAGACCAAGACACTATTCCCAATAAGAGACCCACATATGCGATGATGGGGATGAACCTCCCAGACCCTGTGCTGAGTGAGTATCATCAAAGGGTAGCACCACTTCCATAAGTTCTGTAAATGCTGCAGACCACTGTTGCAACAGACTCCCGTGGGTGACTACTGCTAGGGAGGTGGAAACTGATAGGTCCCTGAAGAGAGGGACTTTCTCAGGATGTAGGAGACACTCGTCTGCCTATTAGTTAAGGGCACAAACTCCAGTGTGGAAGCCACTGAGCCACACCTTCAGATGCTCAAGTTGCATGGTGTGTAGATGATTCCTTAACTGCTCATCTGGATCAGACTCCCTCTGTGGTCATTTCTAATTCTTTCAAGTTGTAGGATGGGCCCCATTTCCCTCATTTCTGGGTCTTCTTTGGAGGCAAGATGGGTAGGAACATAAAGACCCTGTCACTGGACGGTCTCCAGGCAGAGGTGGAGGGCAGCTGAACTGAATTAAAGTTAAAAGTTAAATAGTAAAGTTAAAGATACAGAGGGAGAAAGAGGAGAGCAGGGAGAATACAGTGGGGGTCAAAGGACAGAGACTGAGACGAGAGAGAGGCCCTCTGTAGCCAGGGTGTTCAAATCCTGGCTCAAAGGACCACTTATTCCTCACGAAGCCTTCAGTGTCCCCACCCCCAGTCCCTGTCGCATGCCCCAACTGTCTGCACCTGCCCCTTGCAGGGCATGGGTCAGATGGCTGAGCTGAGCAGTGACATTATCTTCCTGATCAGGACATATTCGAGGGCAGAGCAAAGTTTTTGGCATCTTTTGGTCATTGAGCCCCTGGTCCTCCCTTCTAGCTCTGGGGAGAACCCCAGAGGGCCCTGGCCACCCCTGATGGGGAGATGAGTTGCTACACAGCCCAGGCCAGAATGGATGGGGGAGGCTACTGGCCAGGTCAGAAAGGGGTGTGTTCTTGGAAGTGCAGGGCAGTCCCTAAACACCATCAGTCAAAGGAGGCTCAGAAGTGTCCGCAAGGCGGGGCTCCAGAAAGCAAGAGGCATGGTGCTGAGCCTGCGGACGGAGACAAAGGGCTGTGGAAGACCTTTGGGCTGGGGTGTGACTCACAGCTTTGCTGTGGTCACTGGACTTGAGCTTAGTGGTCTGATAACAGACCTTCCTTCCAGGTGGCCAGAGGCTCAGGACCCCAGTAAGGTTGTTAGCCACTCAACATCACAGAAGCCCGGAGGGTGGTGCCAAGTTCATCTCTTCTGAGGTCAGGCCCAACCACACACTGACTGCCTCAGGTGGTGCGCAGGAAGGCAGGGGCATCCTAGACCCTACACGGTGGTCCACCATGATCTCTACTAGGGATGGATATTTGCTGGGCAACCCAGCATGGAGATCTGTGACTTCCGTATCTTTTTGCTCCCATGGGGACTGGTCCAGGCCCTAGACATTAGAAAGCCATCTTGTTACCCTGTGTCCTGGGGGTGACACTATTCAGGTCTGATCCCCCTTAAATCCCTCCAGTTGAGCTGCTGTTCCTTCAATAGCTGAAAACCATCTTGAGTTGTTTCTGGCTTGTGTCTTTGGGAGTCCCTAGGACTAGGTCTCTGTTCCCATGAAAACTGCTCCAGAGTTTGAGTCCATAGGGAGATGGCCTTCGAAGAACTTGGGAAGAAGCCAGGCTGGACTAGACTTCTCTCCCCCTTCCTTCCTTCCCCACTGCTGCATCATGAGCCTGCAGGTGTGGGGTTAGCGTGTCAAATCTGAGCAGGTCCTAGCCCCATTACCGAATCACTGTGGAGCTACTCACGTGCCATTCCTGTGCCACGATTCCTCACTCAGCTGTTCCTTCTTCCGGCTAGACGACCAAAGTGTCTCAGAGCTCCAAACCTGTCAATCCCCTGAAAGAGACCTCTACTTGAGATGTTTTTCAAAAGGAAAGGACAGAGCTGTGCACTATCTTTGATGTCCCCCAGTCCCCAACAGTGCAGCCTTGTTTTGTCCATGGGTGGGGTTAGCATGATGGGCCACCTCTCCTTCCTGGCTTCAGAAAAGAGTAAATGCCACCACTGGCTCGAGAAGAATTTGCAAACTGCAATGAACGGTGTAAATATTTACACCAGCGTCTGCCCCATCCTCACCCTGTCCCACAGTGCTGGGTGGTGTCGTTTGTTTACCTGCTTCCTCCATGTCCTCGTCCTCAGTGTGGCTTCCAGCTGTTAGGGCTGTTCTGACTTCAGAGCATGCAGGAGAGCCAGCCCTGTGCTCACTGCCTTCTCTGTGATGTGGGACAGTATCACTCCCGTCTCAAACAATACTGTCCCAATATGTTTCTCTCTACTGCTGTGACAAGACACCGTGACCTAAAGCAACTTGGGGAGGAAAGGGTTTATTTTATCAACTCCTTACCCTTCCCCTAGTCGCAAAAGTCAAAAGGGAACCTGGAAGCTGATAGTGGTTCCACACACTTTTAATCCTAGTCCTTGGGAGGCAGAGGCAGGTGAATCTCTGAGTTTGAGGCCAGCCTGGTCTACAGGGCAAGTTCCAGGACAGCCAGGGATTTGCAGAGGAGTCCTGTCTTGAAAAGAAAAGAAAAAATGAAGGAAACTAGAGGCAGGAACTGAAGCATAGAGAAACACTACTTACTGGCTTGCCTTCACTCTCAGGCTCACACTCAACTGGTTTTCTTATACAATCCTGGCACATCTGCCCAGGGGTGGTACCACACATCAATCAATGATCAAGAAAATATGCTCACAGGCCAATTTGTTAGACACAATACCATAATAGAGATTGCCTCTTATATGTTAACAAAAACTATGACATTCTACCACACGGCAACTATGACATACACATACCCCTTTAGTCCATACCTTTTTAATTTCTTGTCCCCAAGATCTCATGTTAATATCACAATATGAAAGCAGTCCAGGTTGGTCATGGTGATGCATGCTTTTAATTTCAGTACTCAGGAGGCAGTTGTAGATGGATCTTGTCAGTTTGATGTCAGTGGTCTGAATTACAAGTTGCAGAACAGCCTGAGGGTACATAGTGAGATCCTGTCTCAAAAACCAAACAAACAACCCAACAAACAAACAAACAAATAAGCAAACCAATAATTCTACTTTTTAGTTCCATAGTGTTTAAAATTTTCAAGACTTTAAAGTCCAAAATCTCTTTTAAAATCCAAAGTCTCTAGTTGAGGGAGAGAACTGGGGAAATAAAAAATCCAAAGTCTCTTAACTGTGGGTCCCTATAAAATAAAAAAAAAGTTATATATCTTCTTATTCCACAAAGGAATAATCAGGGAATTCACAATCAAATCAAAGCAAAACCAGCATTGAACTGCATAAACCAAATCTTGTAGCTCATTGTCCAGCATCTGAGACTCATTCATGATCTTCTGGGCTCCAAAGGGCTTTGGCAGCTCTTCTTCTCCAGCTCTGCCATCTACAGCACACACAGCTTCTCCAAAGGGCTCATGATGGCTCTACTCCACCCTTGCTACTCTCTTTGATGCTTAACCCACCAGTCTAGCATCTCTGATACCCTGGGATCTCCACTGCAACTGAGGTTACACCTTCACCAATGGCCTCCTTGCCTCTCTTTGGGGGCTCTTGTCAGACAGTACCAAGCCTTAGCTGCACTCCATGACCTTCAAGACCAGCACCATATGGGAGACTCAAATACATTATTTGCCAAATTCTTCTGTATAGCCCTGGTTCCCCTGAACCACAGTTTCTGTGTGCTGACCCTAAGGAAATAATCCCAGAAGATCTCAGTGATGCTCTGTGTGTGTGTGTGTGTGTGTGTGTGTGTGTGTGTGTGTGTGTGTGTCTGTGTGTGTGTCTGTGTGTGTGTGTGTGTGTTGAGTATATGTCTTGTGAGGCCAGAAGAGAACTGGAATGGCAGGAAGTTGGGTGTTGGAAACTCAACTGCAGCCTCTTAAAAGAGCAGCAAGTGCTCTTAACTGTTGAACTGTCTCTTTGGACCCTCAGCTACCTTTTTGGTGTAGGCCAAAGACTCCAGCCCAAGAGTGAAAGCACCAGTAGTGGATGGGTCCTTCCATATTAATCAACAAATAAGAAAATGACCAACAGACATGCCACAGTGAATCTGACAGAGGCAATTCCTCAATTGAGGCTCCCTCTTTGTAGGTGTGTCTAGGTGTGTGTCAAGTTGACAAAAACTAACTCCAGACTGCTGAGGGCAGAGTTTAGGCACCAAGACTCAAGAGATGTGTCCGAGGTGCTTAGTCTACCTGATGCTTAGCTCTTGACTGTGTTTCAGAGATCGTGAGTGTGTATGTTTCTTTGTATGTGTATGTGTCTGCACGGTCAAGTGTCTCTATATTAGTGTGGTGCATTTTGAGAGGGTTGCGAATTGCATGTGTGTTTCTATGAATATGGAGTGAATGAACTAATTTATACAAAACAGTGACCTATACACACTAAGTCCTACTATACATGGGTCATTATGAAGACTTGGGACATTTATTTTCTTTATTTTTATTTTTTTAAAAAATCAAGTAATAGGAATCCTTGAAGTGCACAGTTTGTCACGATGATTTTGCTGATTTCTGAAAGTATATACACTCATAGCCATGGTCTAGATCAGTCTTCAAGCTTCAGTTTCTCCATTCTGACTTCTTTCAGTGATCAGCATGCCTGGTTTTGAAGGACAGGAACCTGTGCAGGGTGCAACCTGTGTCTGGTGTCTTCCTTGTAGCCTATTGCCCAGGAGATGAATCTATGGGACCCTCAGTAGTGCTTCCTTTTTTCTTTAATTTACCATGTGGCACTAGTTCCTTGCATGAAATTACCCCTGGTATTTATACCCTCTCTGTTGGTAGGCATCTACTGGGTTGCTGGTTCGGGCTGCTATGGAAAGTTTCTATGGAAAAAACAAGCAAACAAAAGAATGCCTGCAGACCTGTGCGCTACCTTCATTTCATTTCTGTTACTGTGATAAAACACCATGCAAAACCAACCTTGGGGACAAAGGGTTTAATATCAGCTCTCAGCTCAGCTCTCAGCTCTCAGCTCTCAGCTCTCAGCTCTCAGCTCTCAGTTCCAGGCAAGGAAGTCAAGGAACATGTACTAGCTCCTCACTGTTGTAATCACCAGAGAAGACTGCTTGGACATAGGTTTAAGCCAATAGGAAGTCTTTGTTAGTTGGCCAGCAACTACACTGGATGTTCAGGATCCCAGTGTAGCACTGAGCTTTTCTCAGGGTGAGCTTTTAAGGGCAAAAACCATGTTCTAGGTTGACATACTTCAGTTAACAAGAACAGTTAGCCAGAAGTGGAGCTACGGAGGTTAGCACATTTTGAAACTTTCCCAGAACTATGGACTTTGATGGATTAGGTCTTTGTTTTCGTTTTGGCAGATGATGCTGTCTAGGTGCTGAGTTTTACAGCCTGAATTGCACTTCCATCATAGAGTCAGTTTGCTAAGGTCTCAGGCTCTACTAAGGTCTGGGGTCCCGTTGAACCCCCATGCTCTTTCCAGGGAAGTGTGTTTGACAGCATCCCCTCAACCAACATTCATGTGCTCCCCCAGATCGTATGTTCCCCTGAGTAGTCAGTGACGGTAGTGGTTAGTGTCATAATCTGGAACCACCTGGGAGAAGAACCTCTGAGATTATCCTGATTACATCAACTGATGTGGGAAGACCCGCTCACTGTGGGCACCAATCCCCGGGTTTGGGATCCTGGGCTGAGTGCGAATGGAGAAAAGGAGCTGAGCATAGGTGTCCATGCATCCTGTCTTCCCTGGATGGGCAGACTAGTTTCCCCACAGCAGCTGCTGGCATGGGGTTTAAGCCTTGAGATGTTTATGGGGGATAACAATGCCAATGAAGCATGCCGTGGAATAAAGAAAGTGATTTTTAAAAATGGAATAAAGGAAGTGATAAGTAGAACTGACAGGTCAAAGATTTGGTTAGCCTGAGGGAAACCAACCAGAGTAGATGTCTAAGCTCTTCCCCAGTCAGCCACCAAGTGGGCCTTGGCAAACCAAGCTGAAGGAGTGACTGCCACACTCCCCAAGTGCTGGGATTAAAGGTGTGCACCATACCTGGTTTTTGTAGCACTGGGGGCCAAACCCAGGGCATCCTGCATGCTAATCAAGTATTTTACCCACTGAGTCACATCTCTGGACGCTGAGTTATCTCTCGCAGATGTATTGTAACATTTTCTATCAAGCTGTTTTAAGAAATCATCTTTGTTGGGCCATTGAGATGGCTCAGCACCTAAGGCTCTTGCCATTCAAGCCTGGCAACCTGAGTTCAATCCCCAGAACCTCTGTAGAAGTCAGAGAAGATAACCAACTCCTGGGGGTCATCCTCTGACCTTCACATGTGCTGTGACATCCTTACATACACATTCACACATGTGAACATTTAATTATAATAATATTTTTAATTAAAGAAATATTTGTCTACACCAACGTCAAGAAGACAGGTTTCTTTTCCTTAAAAGAGTTACGGTTTTACCTCATATCTATGACCTATCTTAAATTAGCATTAATTTGTGCTATGATTTTTTTCCCCTCCATGTGAATTATCCATTCCAGTTAATACCATTACAGAGAGTATCCCTCTTGCCTTCACTGTAAACCAGAGGACTGACTATATATGGGTTGCTTCTGGGATCCTGGCCTGGCCTGCAGGTCCATTTGACTCTGCCTGTGCTGTCATTCCCGTGGACTTATGAAAACTCCTGACATTGGGTAGTCCTGTGGGCATTGTTTTCTTTTGGAATCATCTTGTATCTCATGGGTCCTTCAAACAGCAGCATAAAACTTGCAACTAGCAGATCAGCTCCTTGGAATTGTTTTCTGGGCTTTGGGTTGGGTTTGTCGGGCAACTTGGTGTCATTATTAATGTTAATAATGTTAGCATAATTAATGTTAAGTTGACTGATCAGTGAACACAGAGCCTTGGTTTATTTCACTCTTCATTTTCTCCTTGGTGCTCGGTAGTTTCCATCACTGAGGTCCTGTGCTGCCTTTATTAGGTTTACTCCCTGTATTTGATGATTCTGGGGGTTGAAGATGGCACACCAACAACGTTTCATTTTCTCACTGTTGCTAGGACACAGAAATGTAATGGGTTTTATGACGATTAATTTTCATAGCCTGTAGATTATTAAGGATTTTTCCATACACAATATTATCATCTGAAGTAATGGCAGACTGTTTCCTTTCCAATCTTTCTATTTTTACTTCTCACTTTGTGAAAGGACCAGTCCTCACTAGAAACATTGATAACAGAAAGCTGTTTGCAGATCTGACCTTAGGAGAAAAGCCGCCACCAACGATGCTGTTAGCTGCAAGTGTGTGTGAGTGTGCACGTGTGCATGTGTGCCCATGTGTACAGTGTATACCCTTCTGCAGGTTAAGAGAATTCTCTCCGAGCCTCTGACAGTTTTGATTCTGAAGGATGGTGGACAGCAACAATCATCTTTCTGTGTCTTCTGATTCAACTCTTCCTATGCCTAAAGCTCTCCAAAGCAAGAAGTGGCCTGCGGCTGGTCTCAGTCCAGATGATACGCAGGGAGACACACCCAAGTGAGGTGGTGAGCGGAGGCTATAGGAGGATGGGAGATACCCAAAAGACGCTAGTCAGGGATACTTGCTCACTTACCTCAGGTCTCTGTACTCCTTCCTGCTCTGCTCGCTCCTAGCAAGGTCTTGGGATCTGATTTTGAAATGAAAAATGGGGCCTCTTCTGAAACCCCAAGCATGCACTGAGTTGGGCATCTGGAGAGGACACACAACACAGTTACTATCCATCTAGGCTCTTCGTTGTTCTGCATGTCATCTGCTGGGAAGCTCTTAGGAGGGACCAGAGTGGGGCTGGAGGGACCAGAGCGGGGCTGGAAACAGCCATCTGCCTCTCTGCTGCCTCCATGGCTTCCCTCTGCCAAGGACTAAAGCGTTCATCCAGAGCACAAGCAAGGCAATAGCCATGGAAAACGAATCAGATGACCCCTCCAGTCCTGCTACCCCACCACCCGTGTCAGCCCTGGCTGGTCGTCTTGTGGATTCTTGGCTTTCCTAGTGTGGTCTGGGAAAACTCCGACACTTTCCTTCCAAAGCCCTGGGAAGCCAAGAGTAGGGCTGCTTGGGGCCATTTCTGTCCCTGGGTCTCTTTTCAAAAGACTTTTGGGTTGATGGATAGAGATTGTGGCTTGTGGGCAGTGAGAAGAGAAGGCCTATCGGACTGTCAGATTTTTGACTTGGTTCAAAGATTCAGACCTCTGCAATTCCCACACTGGATGCCTCAATTCACTGGGATGAAAGTTTAGCTGTAAAAACAACAAACAAAACAAAAAAACTGGCTATAACGGCTGTTGTTTCTATCTCCTTGTTTAACCTCCTTCATTGCCTCCTATAGCAAGTCTCTGTTCCAGCCATACTAGGTGGAAAGCTAGGAGCCTTTGCTACAAGTGGCAGACACTGATGGAAAGTAGCCCACCTTCCCCAAAGAAGTGAATTTATTGGCTCACAGATCTAAACTGTCTATGGAAATCAGCTGCAGGTGTGCCTGGGTCCAGGCGCTCAAATACTGTCCCTCCATCTTTGATCCTGTTTATTCTCACAAACATGTCCTTTGAGGTGGTAGAGAGAATGGGTTTGTTTCCTTTCTGCATGAAATAGAATTCTCAGGGAATGTTGGGATTCTCAGCTCACCACCAACATGGAACATCAGCCTCCCTGGCTGCAAAAAGTCTGAGATTGTGGGAAGGAGAGACCCTAGGGGGGAATGTGGTGTTACTCTTAGAACCACGGGAGTAAGGTAGACAAAACCTCCAGGTTCCACCTCTCCTCACCACCCCTGGCCTTGCCTTTGTCTGTTTCATTTCCAGAATGTTCTTTTTCCCACACTTAATGCTTCCCTTCCTTCAAAGCCTGCCCTGGTGCCAGCCTTTCCTGGCTTTCCAGTTCACAGAAACCCCCTTCTTTGAACTCACCACTGGCCAATGATCTACTTTGGCAGGCATGTTCAACCTGAGGCTCATGGTTCATACGTGGCTGTGCACAGCTATGAATTTGGCTCAACATAAAATTGTAAACTTACTTAAAACATTATGAGGTGTGTGTGTGTGTGTGTGTGTGTGTGTGTGTGTGTGTTGTAAATCAACTGTGCTGTTCTTAAGTGAACTTGCTAAATGAAAGTATAATGACCCACCTTGTCAGAGGTTTGGAACCCCCAGGTACAGACCATACCTTCCATGTTTCGTGCTCTATTTTGTTTTGGTATGCCATTATTAGCCATAGTTTTTGAGCAGGATCCCAGTCTAGCCTAGGCTGACCTCCAATTTTCTATGTAGCCAAGGCTAGCCTTGAACTCCTGATTCTCCTGCTTATACCTCCTGAGTGCTGGGTTTTATATATATATATATATATATATATATATATATATGTATATATATGTATATATATATATGTATGTGCTATGTCCAACTCATTCATTTCTTTTTAAGTGAAAACAAACTTATTAGATCATTTCAATCACATCAAAATAATGCGTGATGCCCAAACAAATGAAAAAAACACGAAGATGAAGTCTTGCATTACCCACAGAGCCCACTCTGCAGAGGTGATGCAGCTCTAAGGTTGGAGTAGAAACCAGCAGGCATGGATTATTTTCCAGGGTAAGAGAGCCCAGTGGGAAAGAGTCCATGGGTTTGAGCTCCTGTAACTCACAGGAGCTCAAAGAACAGAAGCAGAGAGTGGGGGGTAGGGAGGGATGGCCACCAGAGCCCTCCTGGGGACCACACAGAGATGGCCGGCTTACTCCAGTGAGGGGAGCCCTTATAGAACTGTGACCAGCTGTAGTTCCCACACTAGATGCTCAATCCACCCGGAGCCTGAGAATCCTGCCTGGCCCATGCCAGACACAATGCTGATTTGGCCAAAGGAGAGAGCTGGAGGGGTGGACAGACCTGATGGGCTGTAGGGGCATAAGTGGCAGTGATGGCAATGCTCTGGTGTAAAGTCAAGGTTGGAGACCCAGGGGGAGGGGTTTGTGTGTTCCTGGTTTTTGTGTGGACTGTGCTAACTAATATGGGAGCTGGTACAGAGGATATGGTCTCTATCATGCACAGGAATGGACTTGAGCTCACAGACTGCATCAGCTTCCCAGGGCGTGGTTCTGATTAGCAACCTTCAACCCTACTCAGAGGAACATCTTCCAGCTCAATAATGCACATGGTGATCAACGTGTAAGGCATATTGATTGAAGCCTCCTGGGAAACAGAGCATCCCACTCCACAAGGTGACCTGCCACAGTTTCCCTTCCAATCTACCCTGAGTGGACACTAAAATTGTTTCTGCGATGCATGTTTAGGACTTGGTTAGTTGCCAGCGTTGCTTTGATTCTCTGTCTTGTTTCCAAGTGTCCCAAGTTTAGAAACAATGTTCTCTGGGCATTGCCTCTCAGTGCCTTGCTTTTCGGTCACTAGATGGCGGTGTTGCCCAGTATCCCCAGGGAGCTCTTGAGAGACACAGAAGTAGGGCTCTTCAAATCATTGGGAAAACCATTCAGGACCCCGCTTCAGCGCCCAGAGAACTTCCCTAGAGACCTGCTTCCCATCAGAAGATGAGTGGTCAGGAGGAGGGTTTGGGGATGGCTCTTTGGGCAATGGCTTCTGAAATTGAGGGGTGGAAGGCCTGAGAGTCACCAGGACCCACCAAATGATACTGGTGGGCTTTCAGAGTCTCTCAAAGCCACAAGTCCATTAGAAAGTTAAGTTGAAAGACTTCTAACTTAAACTTTAGATATGAAGAAAAATAACAACAAGGAGACGCACCAGTGAGCCGCTGGCTGCATTGTGCAAGACTGGCTTTTCACACTGGGTCAGGATGAGAAAACAAAATGACTACGTAAACTCTGAGGACAACTGTGTCTGCAAACTTGGACAAACCTGGAGCATGTACACAAAGTCTGGTAGAGTCTGAGAGCTACGTTCCTTTGTATTTTCAAAACTACATAAACCAAAAACATTGGATGAGATAACCGTGTGCCTTGGAGAATGCTAAAGAACTTGGTATGGTGGGAGTCATCACTCCCCAGAACCCTGGTGCTGAGATCTGCTGCCTGGGCCCTGTTACACTGCAGGGTTGGGCATGAATAGTCCTTGGATGGGAGGCAGATCTATCCCACGTCTTTCGTGGGCAGAAGAACGTGTTACAGCCCAGGGAGAATCTTCATCCTACCTCCGGACCAGCCCTTCCCCTAGGACCACAGAACTCAAGGACTCCAGCTACAGGTTCCAGCCCAGATGACACCAGCCTCAGCATGCTGGGCCTCCATCTGCAGGTTCCAGCCCAGCCTCCCTGACGTCAGCTCTCTCTGCCTTTTACCAACACTTACTCATCCCACTCTATCCCGGGAGCTCCTTCTCCATGCCAGCTTGTTAATTAATCCCTCTTATTTACAGGCCAGCGAGTGATTTACCCAACCACGTGTACTCCCTTGCAAGCCACACGTGCTCCCTCCAGGGCTTCGCAAGCTGGGGGTGCTGGTAGTGAAATGTGAGTTGGAATGTCCTTCTGTCACCTCCATGAGCTTCTGCCTCTGCTCTTTGTTCAGACTGGCTCTGGGGCTGTAGAATGGGTTCCCAGGAAACCCTCAAGCCTCAGGTAATTTCTGACCTGTGTTCAGGTGTTCAGCTAGCGGCCTGCAAGGTCACAAACCATTCCCATCTTCCAGACTCAAATGAGACACCACCTCTTCTTGGGAAGCCCCTTACAAGTCCTCACTGAGGGCTCCACATCAGTGGCTATCTCCCTCACTCTAGGATTTGTCAAACCAAGGGGCCATGGGGCAGTTGGGAACCACAGTAAAGGAGGGGATTTCCCAGGGTGACCATAAACTAAAAGTGTTACCAAGAGTGACACTTCCAATTTTTCTAAACATCTAGATTGATTTAACACACACACACACACACACACACACACACACACACACACACACACACACACACGTTTTTTTGGTTTCACTGTATAGCCCTGGCTGGCCTGTAATTCAGTTTGTAGACCAGGCTGGCCTCTAACTCAGAAAGATCCACCTGCCTCTGCCTCCTGAATACTGGGATTAAGAGCATGCATCACCACACCCTGCTAAAATTTTTTTACATATAAAAATGGTCCATGTGTAAAAGTCAGAGGACAACTTGTAGGAGTGAGTTCTCTCCTTTTACCACATGGGTCCTGGGAATTGAACTCAGGTCACTAAGCTTAGCAGCAAGTACCTTGCTGACTGAGTCATCTCAGTGGCCCAAGAAATCTTTATATTTTGAGTTAAAATGTTGGTAATTAATTTTATATAAAAATATTTCATTGGACCAAATAAAACATCCACAGGTATGGCCACTTACTGACATTCTTGGCCTGTCTCTTTTAGGACATGACTGCTATGGGTGCCCTTAGGTTCCTGCAATTACAGGTGACCAGGGTGCTTGGGGCAGCCATCATGGCTTCCCTTGTTACTTACTGACCGCCCACCAGCGCATCTTGAACCCTGTGCTGCCTAAGGCTATGTCTGGAGCAGGTGATATGCTTGAAACATGAAACCTAAAACCTTTGACACTCCTTCAGTCAGGAAGTGGAATGCATCCTTCTGGTGCTGGGAACCCGTGATGGCTTGACCAATGGAGTAGGTCAGAGATGCCCCCGTTTATTTCTGGACTCTGGGAATCCAGCTGCCTTGTCCTCAGAAAAGTCCAGGCAAGCTGTGAAGAGACCCTGTGGAGCAGATCTAGGACTCTCCTGCATAGTCTCCCGCTGTGATCCCGCTTCCACCTCCCTCCACCCAGTAGAAAATTGCTGTTACTAAGCCATCTCAGAAACAGACCTTCCAGGTACTGGTCCAGCTATCCCAGCTGACGTCACATGGAGTAGACTTCAACCTTCTCCTTAAGTACTACCCATGTTGCATATTCATAAACAAAGAAATGAATGATTTTTTGAGACAGTATTTCATGTGGCCCAGGCTAGCCTTGAGCTTTCTATGTAGCCAAGGATGACCTTAAACTCCAAATCCTAGCCAGGTGTTGGTGGCGCATGTCTTTAATCCCAGCCTGGTCTACAAGAGCTAGTTCCAGGACAGCCTCCAAAGTCACTGAGAAACCCTGTCTTGAAAAAACAAAAACAAAACTCCTAATCCTCCTGCCTCTACCTTCCTGAGTGCTGGGACGTACCACACACCTAATTTATTATAGGGTGCTGGGGATTGAACCCAGGGCCTCATGCTTGCTAGGAGAGCATTTTACTGGCTGACCCATAGCTCCAGTCTATAAATTAGTAGACTTCTAAAGCTCTGAGTGCTGGTGCTGCTTGTTACACAGCAACAGATAACTGGACCGTGAAAGGCAGCGCTAGCCTGGCTCTATGGTCAGTGCTGGGATTTTAGGTCCTTTTCCCTCCTGGATTTGTTTTGCGTTGAGAAACAAGGTTCAGTCTTGACCCCCAAGTGTTAGTGGGAAGGTAGAAGGAACTTTGGGGCCACTAGACCGTGAAGTAGCATTGTGACCTTGGAAAACGGGCAGGCACCGAGGAGGGAAGCATCAGGCCTTGGACCTGAAGCCCAGCCAATGCTATCCCATCTTAGGTCTGCACATTTGAGTATGCCCAGGACAGCTGGTCTGTGAGGACAAAAAAACTGGAGAAGGCCTAGCCATCCGTCAATGGGAGAAAGCTGTGTGCACTGTTGTTTATTTTTAGGCTATAAATGAATGGATTCAAGCCAGCACAGATCAAGTGGTGGGACTCAAACAACAAGCTTTAACTGATTCATGCCACAGAGTGCCGTCTCCGTAAAACCTGAGAGCAAACAAATCAATGATGTTATGGATAGATACGGATGTATGTGTTCAAACAATACAGGAGGGTAAGCTTGTATGTGTGCAGGGGTGAGTCCCCAGGGCTGGATACCTTGGTGTGTGTGTAGGGGTGACTCCCTGGGGCTGGGTACCTACCTCTATAATGTGCCAGGAAGAGGAAGAATGTGATAGAATTAGAGCTGTGTACAAAACTCAGGCATTTTTTCTATTAGTTTTTGTTCTTTTCTACATGCTTGAAATATTCGGTAACTTAAAAGAACAGGTTTAATCAAGAGAAAGATGAAGTCCAGGAGGGAAACCTCTCCCAGGTGTGATTCACCTGAAGGCCTGACTAAGCTGGCGCCTCCATCCTCCTGGCCAGCATGGTAGAGTTTGTAAGAAACTCAGGTTCCCACCATGCCACTGGGGGGGGGCAAATGAGTGTGGAGTCTCCTGTCCTACCACAGCCCAGGGATGAACACTGCCCTTTGCATAGTTCCTTCTGGGGGCCATGGGCCTGGTGAACTGGGCATCTGGGTCTCAAGGTGCCTGGCACCACAGACTAATCATTGTGAGAAACGGGTTTGGGGTTCCTCGTTTGCTACATGGACATGCTTGCTTGTATATCTCGGGCTTTCCTAATGTGAAGGTGACCTCCTGTGGTTCTGAGAGGTAACCAGAAGAACTGCCAGGGCCAGACAGCAAAGCCATGAGGAAAAAGATAGGATGACGCAGCTCACTGGCCCTCAGGAGGTCCTCCAGACTCCCTGGTCCATCTGGTCTGGGTGACAGGGCATCGGCAGAGTCCACTGCAAACACAGGCTTCCCAGACCCTCAAAGCAGCTCCCACACCAGATCTGAGCGCCACTGGGGCTGTATCCATCCCTGAGGTCACCTCTCATGAAGTCATCTTCAGCCCATGAGAACACCTGCCACCCTCTGACCTTCAGGATACTCTCAATGGGCAAGACCTCTGCTTGGACTCACTTACAGAGTGAGGAAACCGAGGCCCAGTCTCAGGTAGCCATTTCCTTTCCAGTCCCATTGTCACAAGTGAACGTGGCTGTGTAACCATAGTCCCCAAAGGTTACCCTGACCTTGACTTCTCACACCCCAGATGCAGTCCTCATAAACAATACAGACTATACATTCCCACCCCCAGTTTCCTTTGCTCAGAACTCACAGAGCTTCACCGTTGCCATGACCACAGCTGTGATTGGCTCCTGTAGGTTGCCATGTAATATTCCGCATGTGAGTCTGCCAGTGACCCTTTCACCTGGGCCAGTCCCAGGTTTTAAGGCTACTGTTGACGGGTGTTGCTGCCTAAGCTGGCAGCAGGCCTAGGGAGGCAGGCACCAACTTGCTCCTCGTTTATGAGACGGAAGCAGAATCCTGAGAAGAAAAAACATAGAGGATGCAAATAAAACACGCAGCCCGGCTGGCTTCCGGGGGCCTGCCTTCAGCCAACTTAAAAAGACATGAGTTGAAGGTCGTGCAGCTGAGGGGTCTGTTACTAGACTCCCTTTGCTGGAGGTCACACCTCTGTGTGGGACAAGATAGCAGCAGCTGCCCAGGTTACCACTCTTCAGGGACCTGAGGGCTATTCTTGTGAAAGTTGCCGACTCTGTGCAAGGCTGTGAGGGGTGATTTTTTGATGTCAGAAAGTCCCACACTGCATCTTGGCTCATGCTCATGCCAGTACTTTCTGAGTTTGGGTCTTGAGAGCAGCTATGTGTTGAGTCATTACCTCACCACCTGCGATTACCCGCTTCTGTATCCCACGAATGCCTTAAGCCCATCGGTGGTCAATTTGCTTTCCTGTGTCAGAAGCTTGGCAGCCGTGAGGAAGAAGATTTTCCTCTCTCTTGCAAGCCTTGCCATTTCTGTGCCTTCATACTGTGCAACAGTCAATGGACTTGGGTCAGTGAGAAGACAAGCCACCTTACAAGCAGAGGTGCTGTTCTTCTCAGGGGTACCCCCGCCCCGTCTTGTCCATCTCAGCTGACCAACAGGTTCCCCACAGGCTGCCCACACCCTCTGTTTATTTCCATTGCTTCTTATCTCTGGTAAAAGAGAGGAAGCCTGGGCCCTGGCTCACCTCAAGACTCCCACGTATCACTGATGGTCAACCCAGCCACCTCCTACCTTACATCCTCCTCCTCCTCCTCCTCCTCCTCTTCCTCCTGCTCCTCCTCCTCCTCCTCCTCCTCCTCCTCCTCAGGCCTTCAGGTCTTCTTGAGGAGCTCTGGTTGGGACCTCTGGGGATCAAGTGGACACCTCTATCTGTGCCTCAGTTTCCCCCTTTGTATAGTGTTACTGTGTTGAGGAAGATAGAAGTTCATTGCTGAGATGTTTAGCCACCTGCAGCCCTTGGGTTGTTCTGACGGCGCAAAGGAGGTCTCTTTGAGCCGGAACCATGGCTCCTTAGCTTCTCTACTCTATGCTCAGAGCTTCAAAACTTAGAACCTATAAAAGGTGACGGTGAGGGTCAGTGTGGTGGTGCATGCCTTTAATTCTGGCATTCAGGAGGCAGGGACCGGTGGAGGTCTGGGAGTATGAGGCCAGGTTTACAGAGCAAGTTCTAGGACAGCCAGGCTGCACAGGGAGGCCCTGTCTCAAAGAAAAAAGTATGGTTAGGGTAAGGATGCAACTCAATGGTAGAGTGCTTACCTAGCATGTACAAAGCCCAGAGTTTAAAGCACAGTGATAAAATAACCATGTAAACATATCAACAATTTTAGGTATGGTAGTTACAGTGGTTTGAAAGAAAATGGCCCCCAAAGGGAGTGGCACCATTAGGAGGTGTGGCCTTGTTGGAGTAGGTGTGGTCTTGTTGGAGAAAGTGTGTCACTGTGGAAGTGGGCTTTGAGGTCTCATATATGCTCAAGCCACACCCACTGAGTCAGCTCACTTCCTGGTGCCTGCTGATCAAGATGTAGGACTCTCAGCTCCAGCACCATGTGTGCCTGTACAGCAGCACCATGTCCCACCATGATGACAATGAACTAAACCTCTGAACTGTAAGCCAGCCCCAATTAAATGTTTTTCTCTTTAAGAGTTGCTGAGGTCATGGTTTCTTCTCACAGCAACAGAAACCATAAGACAACTCAGGGGGTAGAGGCAGGAGGATCATGAGTTCAAAGCTATCCTCTGCTGTGTAGCAAGTTTGGGGTCAGCCTGGGCTATATGAGTTTTTTTTTTAAGTGGTAGATGTCCAACTGTATAATTAATTAGGCTTATTCTTTCAGCTCTAGTTCCTGGTTCTTCTTGCTCTTCCAAAGCCCCCAGTTTTTCCAGTTCTTTCTTGATCTTTTCTGAAATTTCTGGCAACAACAGGGTAATTTTTGCACCAGTGGCTTCTTGCTCTACACACATTCTCATCTTGCTATTATTCTTTTACAGGAAGGAGAAAAAGAAAACAGAACAAAGCAACTCCAAACTATTGCTACTTAATTTTATTTTTAATGTTGAAATAGTTTAAGACCCACAAGAAGTTGCAAAAATAGTCCCAAGACCTCCCGTGCACCTTCACCCCACTTCTCCCAGGAACAACATCTTACGTAACCATGGCACGCTGTCAGAACTGAGAAACTGACATGGGCGCAGCGTGACTAACTGAAAGGCAGACCTTATTTGGATTCCACCAGTTTTCACAAGTGTGGGGTTGTTTCACTGTGTTGTGTTTTCTTCTGCGGTCATTTATAACATTTTCTCACACAGCAAGAGTTTGTGGATTGGGATATAGAATGTTCCAGTCACCACAGAGAGATTCCTTTATATTAACACTTTAAGATCTCACCCTCAGAGCTGGAGAGAAGGCTCAGCAGTTAGGGGCACTCACTGCTCTTGCAGAGAACCCAGGCTTGGCTCCTAGAATTCACCTGGGGGCTCACATCTGTAACTCCGGCTCCAAGAGATTCAATGCCCTCTTCTGGTCTCTGAGGGCACTGCATACACACACACACACACACACACACACACACACACACACACACAAAATTTAAAATAAATCAGATGTTTAGAGTCCTACCCTCCCCAACCATAGCCCCTAACAACCATTGATCTCTTCATTTGTGTTCTCTGTATATAATGAAACAGAGAATAGTCCTCCATTGCTACAGTTGGGTATGTTGACAATTTTGTAGAAAGGGAGCAATGTTATATACCTAACCTTTTGAGATTAGAGTTTTCTTCTCAGAGTAATACCCTTGAAGTCAATTCAAGTTATTGTTTTATCAACACCATTCACTCCTTTTTATGACTGAGCAATATTCCATATTACAGATGTAACCGGTTTGTTTAGTCATTCACCTGCTGAAGGACTTTGGGACTGTTTCCAGTTTGCGACCTTTACAAATAAAGTTAAGTACCCATTACTGGGTGTTCCTACAAGTCTGCTTTTATTCTTCAGGGCCAAATGTCCAAAAGTCTAACAGCTGGGCCATGTGTTAAGCATGTTTAGTTTGATAAGCATGAGCTCAGACTGTCTCCAGAAGGACCATGCCCATGGGATGTAGTAAGGTCTAGTTGCTCTGTGTTCTTCATGGCTTTTGTTGTCAGTAGCTCTAACACTGTGACAAAGCACCGGAGACAATCACTTCAATAGAAGACAGGTTTCTTACATGTCTCAGCTTTAAAGGTTTGGGACATGGTTGGTTAGCCCCATTGCTTGGGGGACCATGGGAGTACACAGTGGAGTAAGCTACTTAATCTTGTACAGCTAGGAAGTGGGGGGAGGCTCAGAGGAGGTCTTGACATCCCCTGCAAATACCCACCACCCACTAATAACCTAAGCACCTTCTGGAACTCTAGCGCTGTGGACCACGGATGAAGCATTCAATGTGTGGGCTGCCTAACGCCATGGCCATAGGAATGATTTGTGCCAGCCATTTCAGCAGGACTGCCATGTTTGTTGGTTTTGGTGTTTTGAGACAGGGTCAAACATAAACCAGGTTGGAGCCCAACTTCTATGTAGCTGGGCTGATCTTGAACCCCTGATCCTCCTATCTCTATCCCCCAAGTTTGGGTATTACAGACACCCCACCGTGCCTGGCTATTACATTATTTTGAAACAGTTTTGATACGTAACTTAGGGTAGTCTCAGACTCTTGATCTTCCTGCCTCAGCTTCCCAAGTTCTGGGATGACAAGTGAGTTCTAGCTCTGACCTCATAGCATTGGCATACGTTTCCCTCCTGGCTAGGGGTGCTGGACATGTTTTCCTGGGCTTATTTGGCCCTGTCTCTCTTCTTTGGTGAAGTGTCTGCGCAAACTTCTAAACTGTTCTCTAAGAAGAACATTTGATTCTTTCTACCAACTTTAGCATGGTTGGATGCACCCTAGCTACAAGCCCTTGGCTCTGAATGAGACATAAATCTGTCTCCCTAACTGCTTTCTCTCTGTGCTCATAACAGGGATTCTGCAAGGAGAATGCTTCCTTTTGATGACATCAATTTCACCCATCAGTTCCTGTGTGGATTGCATGGCTAGATGCCTTGCTTTTTCTATCAGCAGGTGGATAGTTTCTGGCCATTGTACAGACAGACACAACACACTTGGCCAGTTCCATGCCTGGGGCCTCACTACCCGAACTGGTGCCTCTCTGACCTGGACATCCCTGAGCATCCATCCTTCTCATCTGAAAGAAATCCCTAGTAATGGGGCTGCTAGTCAGAGGTCAGCATCTATGCCTTGGACAGTTTCTGCCTCAGTGTCTACAGCACCTCTTACCAACACCCAGCTTTATCAGATTTGTTTGATCCTGGCTGATTTTAGAAGTGAACAATCCTTTCTCCATGAAGTATTGGCTTTGATTCCTGGAAGGACTCTCTGCTGAAGGTGTTTGGCTACTGTCCTGTGTGTGTTTCTCCTGGTTGTGGCCATCCACAGGAGCCTACCTTATGAAGGGCTGGGCCACGACAATGCAAGGACTCTCTTGGCTCAGGCTTTACTGAAACTGGGCTGAAACTGGGGTCCATGCTTTGCATCTCCCCCTGCAATTGGCTCAGTGTCCCATCAACACGATAACAGAACCAACTCATAGGAAAGCACACAGTGAGAGCTGGGGATGTGGCTCAGTTGACAAAATACTTCTCTAGCATACGCAAGACCCTGAGTTTGATTCCCAGTACCACACGCACTGGACATTGTGTGTGCTTGTAATCCTAGCACAGGGCAAGTGGAGGCAGGGTGACCAAGGTCATTCTCAGCTACACAGGGAGGTAGAGGACAGCCTAGGCTACATGAGACCTTCTCTTTAGAATGAATGAATGGATGGATAAATGAATGAAGGAATGAATAAATGAAGTGCACAATGAGTACTGTTCGAGGGCCAGCTTTTTATCCCCTCATCCTTAGGAGG